TAATATGCAGATGCTGTGCAGTACAATAAAAACCATGAAATACTGAACAATTCTTAAAATGTACAGTGTTGTGGAGTAGGGTTTTTTGATATTCAAGTGATAACTTCTTTTTTCTTTCTAGGTTTCATGACCTATTTGGTGGAACCATTATTTGCAGAATGGGCTCGTTTTTCAAACACCAAGTTGTCTCAAACTATGCTTGGCCACATGGGACTGAATAAAGCTAGTTGGAAAGGTATTCAGAGAGAACAATCTAGCAGCGGTGATGATACTGATGCTGCATGTGAGGAAACAGACTCTGATGTAGTACCTCAGGAACATCAATTATCCTGACCTCAGGATCTGCTTAACAAACTGCTCTTCCTTGGTACCTACAGACCAGTGTTGGAGGATAAATTCTGTCTTGACTGCCAAGGTTTCAGTGTAAACAATGCCAGCATTATTTATTTCCAATTGTTTCCTTTGAGAAATCATTTGAAACTGGTTTTCAGTTACAAACCTGAATACAGAGCAATATGCATATGCCTCGGTTGGCTTCTGCATGGAACCTTGAATATGCAACCCTGAGAAAGAATACAAGTCTTGACAGGGAAAGTTCAAGATTTGTTATGTGCCACATTATTTGGTTTTTTAAAAAGGAGATTTGACATAAGGCCTTCAAAACTGCCACATGACATGGATGATTCTCTCTTCCTGGAATTTAGCAGGACTCCATTCTATCCTTGTCCAAAATGTGGAAATGTGAAGTGCCCATACTTGGCTGCCTTGGGCAAGAACTGATGTTTACACACAGACTTTGAAACTGTAGATTCAAAAATAACCTTTCTGCATGGCTGTGAAAGAACCACTGTTTTTTTTTTTAAATTATCAAATCTGAAACTGCAGCTCATTTTTCTCTTAGTAAGAGAAGTCCGCCGTGGGTTACAAATTTGGCTGTGCATTAGGAATGGAACATTTAACATAAAGCACAGCCATGTTTTATTCCAGAGTATTGGAATGCAATATAGCAAGCAGAAATACTTCTGAATTTGGGGAAGGGAGGTGGGATGGAGGAGAGGATGATCTTCAAATTATGTTAAGATTCTATGGTGAAAACATTTGCATGTTGTTTTTGCTATTGTACACTTGAACTGCACATGCAACAAAAAAGGTGGAATGACTACCAGAAACAGCTCAGGGTATTGCCAGTCTGAAATAAAGTGGGATGGAAAGCATGTCCTTCATAACAAGGGTACAAAATGCCCCTTACGCTGCAGAGTGAGAGTGTGTGTGTGTGAATGTGAGACTGAATGAGTGAGTGAGAGAGACAGAGAGAGAGAATATGAGTGCTTGGGATTGGGAAAAAGGGAAAATGGAAAGGAGTCAAAAGGCATTTTTTAATTTATTCTTTTTAGAATGTGATATTTTCATGAGCAGCCATGGGGGGAGGGGAACTGATAGGTTGTTACAGCTGCCTTAAACTATGCACAAAGCTAAGTGACCAAATTTTGTTGATTGAAAAAGTGCATTGTTTACTTATTCCCTCCCTCTACTGAAATGTAACCCATCCTGGGTTTTTTTGATGTGAAAAGAAGAAATGTTTTTAAGGACAAATTTTAAGGACTAATTTTTAATCTTCAAGCATTCCTTTTTTTGTAAGTTTTAAGTTTCAAGTACTGTAAGCACAACTGTAATCTATTTTGAGAAACTGGTGCTTTAATTTTGTTCATTTGTATTTTCCTTGTTTTTACTGTAAAGACTGTTTTGTTCTGTTTACAATTTGCAACAGCCATTTTTGGGAGAGAGCTTCAGTGTAAAGCCATTTCTTAAAGGCTTTGCCATCCTCATGTTAATGTGCCTGTTGCTGTTAATCTTTGATTAATAATAAAAACTTTTCACATTATCTGGAGTCTAGTTTGAAAGGTGCAGAAATAATCAAGATCACATTAATCAGAAAATTTCTTTCTTAGTGGCTTTGGACTCTTAAGAGCTTCTTGTTTTGTAGATGTTTTCTTTGTGGTGCCTACACAGCAAATATGCAGCACTTGAACCAAACTGTTCAAGGAAAATCTTTAGTGGGAAGCATATCCTAGGGCCCAAATTTCCTAGGTGTGGGTTCAGTTATCACTTCAGTCTCTTTTCCACTACAGAATCTGTGCCAGAAGCCTTTTCTCTTATCAACTCAGGTACACTATAGGTGTTTCAGGGATAGGAATATGAGAGGGGAAGATCCGGTTCTATGCCATCATTAGCCATGAAAGCTTACTAGGTGATTTTGGGACAGTCACTCTTCATCAGCCCAAACTTTGAGGATTGCTGTTATGGAAAACTAAGAAGCCTTGTATTGCAACAAGTCATAACCCTATAAAAACCTACCAGTAGTTTGTCTTGAGGGTTTTTTTCTCTCTTCATTTTTCATTATTTCTTAGTTTGCTTTTCTAATCACAAATTAATTTCTCTGGTATCTTTGTAGTTATCGACTTTGATTAGAAGGCAAGACTATAGTGCTCATTTGGTAATTATATGGCCTTTTCTTGGGAAACCTAACACTAAGGTTGTGAAATAACCTTTTTTGCAAATATATTAATATGGTGGCCAAATCCTATCCACTGATGGGTGTTCGTCGTCTCTCATATCCCTTAGGAAATGGTACATTGGCATTGTTTGCCTACAAATCAGGCCCATCAAAGCTGAGGATTTTAAGACTGGTGCTGGTATGGGAACTCTGAATTGCAGGGTCATTGTTCTCTTCATCTGATCCAGACATACAGTAGATATACAAAATTTTAAAAAAAATTGCTATTAACCGCTGTGGTTCCACTTAGTTTCTTCAGTTCCAAACGATTTATGAAACTTGGCACTGGGCACAAAAATCTGGTTAGAAAGAAGGGATAAAAGCAGCTTCCACTCTATTTGGTGGGTTCAACTTGGGAGTGCCCCATAATTTCTATTGATTGAAATGCAGCGATCTTTTATTCTCCTCTGCTCGTCATTAAGTAGACTGCTAAAATTTTGTGCTTTGCCTGGTCTTTGAAAAAAAACTTCAAGACTCCTCAATTGCATGTAGATGATGTCTAAAACCTCCTTTCTGTTCTTCAGATTTTCACTCTTGGCACTGTTTTAATTTGCACAACCTTTTGGCAGATTCCAAATCTTGTGACCATAGCTTTCTACTATGACTGCTGTCTCATTAGCAACTGCCTCCTTTCTGGTGAACTTATTTTCTTCAGTCTTAGTGTTTCTGATTTCACTCTGAGACCTGCTAACAGTCATGACACAATTATGATTCTTCCAAGTTGTATCAGCCATCTGAGACAGTACAGAAAATGTCTGGCCCACTTGTGGTCTTGAGCAAAACCTCAACACTACTCAGCAATCTTTATGTGGATTTCATTCCAGTCTTTTAATGTAATTTGTCCCTTTTTTTGCTGTTGTATGATACTAATGGTACCATCTCTATAGTGCAGGATCTTATCCTATCTTTTGAATACATCAAATTAATTATCAACCATAATTGGATAAATCTGCTTCAGAAACCACATTTTCCCTGCTTCCAGTTATCTAGGGTATGGCCATTCTTTCTCTGAATAAAATGCACTTCATGCAGAACAGATTTTTCATAAATTAAACATTAGGCATTGAGATTCACCAGTCTCTTTGTTTACTCAATCTGATATTCAAAGTGGCTAATTCTACCGTAATATGCTAACATTGTTACAGCTGTTAACACCATTTAAATCTGCAAAATACTGATTATAGAAATAAGATACCCTGTCTCTTTTTTTCCCAAGTACCTCTCTTCAAACTCTTAATTATTGGGGACCTAGTATTTCTGAAAAGAGCAATGCCTCATACTGATAAGCTAGGACTCAACGGGACATAATGGGATATAACATCTTTTTTTAACTACAGCTCCTACTGCTAGGCTTGTATCGTTTCTTTGTGGAATGTTTTTTATTTAATCAACTTACAGGCTACCTCAACTACAATTGCAACTCATGGACCAATTTATTAATTTAAATTTAGTAAATTTATTACCAATTTATTAGAGAATAAGAATACAGTTGCTAACATTTTCTACTTGATCTCCTTGCCTAGATCAAGATTAGTAACTTCTTTGATTCTATGGCTACCTCTAATCTAAATCATGTTTTCAGTATCCATAGCAAATATTGTTCTTTGCACTATAACATTAAAGGTTGTAACAGAAATCTTTTTATTTACATAGCTTCAGCAGTGGTAACACCATACCATTGTAATGCATATAGTTAGTCCTTGATCTATGACAATTGAGAATTTAAGTCAGGGTAGTTGTTAAGTGAGTCATCCTGGTCATTAAGTGCATAATGTAGTAGTAAGTGTGATGCTTAATCACTGGGTGTTTTTGCCAGAAAATGGCAAAAAAATTGCAAAATGCAATCATAAATGTGAGCCAAGTTGCCAACAGCCTGAAATGTGATCACATGCCCATGGGTTTGGGAGCAATGCAACATTTTGTGATGGCCTTTGAGGCCAACGTAACTTTGAATTAGTACTTAAGCAACAGTTACAAATTCTGGACTATCTATTCACACAAACAATTATTTTACAACACGACCCATCCATTTACATACTTGAAGGTTGTCTTAAACAGCATAAATTAGCAGTAATAGATTAGGTTATGAAGTTGAAAATCTTTTGACTGATAGTGTGCTTAACTGTACCTTCCTCTCATTGGTCTGTTCCCACATCATCCCATTTTATCTAAATAATTATTAGCAGGGACATGATTCATCTCTGTTGCTATACAAATCAGACTGGACAGTTTGAAAATATATTTCTTTTCTGGAGGAATTTTGTAGGATTAGCCAGGATTGGACATAACAATACCCAATCTGGCTAATCCTGCAAAACCTCCTAAAACAACAGCTGAGGTAAAACAAACTGTCATTTTCTGGAGGAATTTTGCAGGATTAGCCAGGATTGGGTATTGTTATGTCCAATCCTGGCTAATCCTGCAAAACCGCCTAAAACAACAGTTCAGGTAAGACCAATTGTTAATTTGCAAATAATGAATCAGCCACAATTTGGCATTTTGAGCTGTTGGAACATTTGAAGCAGCTGTTCCAAGGTTAAAATACTTTCCGTATCCCCTATTTTTAAAACTATTTTTTCCAGACTAAAGCAAACCTGATTTAGAATTCATCAGATACAGGTTCTATCTTTAAATATATCCAATCCTTTTAATGCATGAATCTTGTTCAAAATTTTATTTGCTTTAGATGTTCTTGGACCCCGTTGTGCAATATTCTTCGTTCAAGCATCAAAAAATGGCCAGACTAATGTAATATATATTATACTGTTTTTAAAATTTTGAACAGTGTTGGAAAAGTTTAAAAATACTGATGCAACTATATGATAATAAACGTTAAAGTATCTGGGAGCAATTTTACCTGATCAAATTAAAAACATTTTCATATTTGAACAAATTTCAAAATGAAAGCTTTCAAGCATTTCATGACATTTAGCTTAAATTTGCTCAGTCTCATTCGTAGATAAAGCACATTTCCTTGTCACACTGAATCATTCAGCAGTTTGCAAATACTGCACAAGATGACAAAATAATGACAAAATATTCTGTTCAAGAAGTAAAATATTTTACTCAGCAGGAAAGCTGGTCTTCAATGTTTTTGTTTTTTCCAATTTCAAATTATTTTCTAACTTATTTGACAGTTACTATCTGCAATTCAGTTCAACAAGAGCTTATGAATAAGCAGGTCTGAAGGTCTATGAAGGAGGTCAACAATGCTAACTATTAAGTTTCATTAGTAGCTGTTGATATGCTCATTATATGTGCATAGAATGAATGTGCAATTATAGTGTTTCATCCTATCTAAAAACAAGATCAAGCTTTGGCTAGTTTCTTCTATATAAATATACCTCCAATGCAGCATTTGCTTTAAATTTACCAATTTTGCTGAATAATAAAATTCTTAAGTCTTGTTACCTTCACCCTATAGAAAGAAAAGAGGCTCCAGTGAAGTCTACTTCAAGTTCAAAATGAGATGTCAATACAGGCAAAATATGTCCTGCTATTATATTCCAATTATTACATCAGAGTTATAATTTAAACTATAATTGCATTCACATGTTTAAGAGTAACATTTATAACTTAGTGTTAGCCAAATGCAGCATGTACATAAATACTAAAACCTGTGCTAGAACATGGTAATTTTTTCATTTATAAACTTGTTCATGGAAGCAAGGCACATAACTCAGTATTGTAAAATTATAAATCTAATTTTCAAAACTGTTGAGACAGTCCTTTTATACTGAAGCATGATTTTTCTTTTTAACAATTTTCAATTAGATTCTTCATTTTTCCTGTAGGTTTCAGCAGGTGTGGGCCAAACTGAAAAGAAAAAGAAAGCATAAACTAAAGGAAAAAAATCCATGTATTTCCCCCCCTTTCAATGTGTGTATATAATGAGCTGGACTTTTTACTGACCAGCAGTTCATGCCTACTACTAAAACACCTAGATCAACAGCTGGGGAATTCTACAATTTTAAGTCCATGCCTTTTAAATGTGCCAAGTTTGAAATACATTGCTTTAGATTCTATTAGTGGGAGCACTAAATGCACCAGAATGAAAGGAACTTTCCCGGACATGTTGCTCCTTTAACTCAAGGAATGGAAAACCAATCATAAATATTGGGACTGATAAAAAGCCATTGTTAAAAATATGAGTGGAGGTTAGTCAATCTCTTGAGATGAGGCATTCTGGAGATCTCTAGTCCTGAATTTATGTAAATTAAGATGTAGCTTGTCTTAGCCTAAAGTATGAACATAACCTTGGTGGCTTGTAAACTGGCTGATGCCTGATGTTAGTATAACCATTCCACACCATGGCTCAGCACAACATACAAACTTTTGACCAAGCACTTACCAGATTTGTTTCAGAAGTTGAAATCTGTTTATCACTTTCACTTGAACTGTCACTACGGTATCGATATGCAAATTTCTTTTTAAGAGCTTCAGCTATTACTGCAGCAGGATCTGTTGGATCAGCAGTTTTCCTTATAGTGCTTTCCTCCGGCCTTCAAAAGAATAAGATAAGGCTTTGACCCACAGACTTTGAATGATGCAAATACATGTGCCATTTTCACCAATGAACTTTTTTTTGCTTTCACACTTCAATGTCTTTCGTAACGACTCTAGTGATTTGATTAACTACCCCAGGAAAGTCAACATTGTAAATCCATCACAGTCATGTGATATCTCACATGACAAGAGTCACTTGGTTATGTGGTTACAGGTTCCAATATACTCTTTAAAATGGCTGTTTGAAAACCAAACTATGAACTTTAATCATGTGAATCAAGCAAACAAATGATTATCTCATCTCTATCTCTGCTTAGAAATAATCAAAATATTGCACTTCTTCCCTGCAATCCTTTCTCTAATAAGTAAAGGGGAAAATGTACCTTTTCACTGAGCGCAGCTTTACATTGTTCATGTCTTTCAGAATATCTAGCATGTTTGGCATTTCAAGCTTCTTTGGATCACCATCTATCAGAGTTGTGCCAGAATTTATTCTTTTGCCTTTGCGCTCTTTAATAAGGTCAATGGCAGAAACACTCTGCTGAAGTAGTGGTGGCGGTGGTGGTAGGGGTGGAGGCGGTGGCGGTGGTGGTGACGGTAAGTCAGAAAGGGATGCAGAAGAACCTATTCCAGCTGTAAGAACAATGTACATTTAAACATGCTGCAAATATGTTTAAAAATTTTTTGTTTAAAAATATACCCATTATTGTGATTATCAAATAGAATCAGCACTGAATTGCTATCACCTAACACTATGTTCCCTCTCTGTTCCCTGGCAGTTTCCATTTTTAACACAAAATATAATGAAAAAGGTGATATTTCTTTTAAGGAAATATAGCTTGGCTGTAAATGGTTATACTGACCCCAGCACTGAAGCGGCTTTCTAGTGTATGGAATTTGTTTATTACTTTTCTGTAGAGCTAAACAAAAAAAAACTTCTGTTTACAAACATAGTTTATTATGTTTTCTATTCCTGTTTCCTGCCTAGAGATATAGGAGTTAAGATTGATAGCTGTATGAATTTGTTAACTAAATATAAAAACATTTTAAACACAGAAATATCATAAAGCAATGGAGAAAATAATAACTATTTTTAGTTTTTGTAGTTATTTAGTTATTTTTAGATAACAGTTCTAAAGGCCAATGAGGGTGCCAGCCTAATCTCAAAAGGGAAACCATTATATGAGGGCTGTAAAATAGAAAACCAAGGCCCATAAACCCTGGTCCCTTTTACTTTCTACACATGGTAGACCATTAAAAGATACTGGGAAAATTTCACCATGAACAGGTTGATCAATTTCACTTCTACAGGGAAAAGGTGGTTTTTAAAAGTATCCTGCTGCCAAAGCATATATGGCTTTATAGGTTAATATACCCCACCCCCCAGCACTTTGAACTTACTGCTATTCAATCATGAATGAAACAGGAAAATAACATTTCATTGTTGGGTAAAAGGAAAATTGGAAACACAGGCAAAAAATTATGTGTGTCAACTGAACCTTTCACAAAATTGTTTTTAGATACTTTATAAGAACAGTCACACGATAAGTCTCATTTTAAGATCTTCCAATCAAAATCTTTACGATTAGCAAAAATTTGTAATACAAATCCCAAGATCACCTTGACTCTGATTGTCTAATGTAACTTTGCCCAACCTATTACTAGTATTACTAGTATTATTCTTTCCAGTGCACCAGATTACGCTTTTCATCACATGCGCTCAGCAAAGTATGCTGGTTTACAATCATGGGTGCTATCATCTACCACAAAGGGAAAGCAACAGGTTGTGGAAGGCAGGCAAAAGATCATATGTGCAGAAGGGGACAGATAGAGAAGTATGCCATTCCAGATCTTTCATGTCAAGTTAAAGAGAAAGACTACCACAACTAATTTTCTAAATGTCGTAATTTATACACCAAGGATATTTGCATCTGAATCTAGTATTTTTTTGACTAAAGGCATAGCACTTAAAGCTTACTAACATTGAGGAATGGGCAATTTGATACCTGCTGCCAAATTTTGTTCTTGTAGGCTCACAATTTTGGCTATTTGTGCTCTTAAATTAGCAAGCTCATTTTCCAATATATTTATTTTCTGCAATGCTTCGTCATTTTTGGCTACTGCAGTTTTGGAATCTTCCATTTCTTGTGATTTCTTGGGCAACAATTCTTTAGTACTTGAATCTCTTCCTGAAGAGCCTTCACTTTTAAGAAATGGTTGGGATTTTGACCAGCCTTCTGATCTATAATAATAAAAAAAAAGTTTGTTTTTTTCATCATATAGCATAAATCTCTTGATCAAAGTTAAAATTCTGTCTATTAAGCCAAATGACTTATTCTCTGCAAATGTAGAATGCTGCCTTTGCCATGTTTGTATTTAAGCTAAAACAATGTTTAGGAAGTTCCTGTAAACATCAGAAACCATACTGTGTTTTGTTGGAAAGAAGGTGAAGGCAAAGGCTTCATTTTTATTCCTTGGCCTTCAGCACAGATGTTAGAAATCTAATAGCATTAAGAAAAACATAAATTGTATTTAAATAATAAAATGCTTTCATGAACAGATGGTTTAGAAATTAAATTCAACCACTGTTTTTCAATTACTGTATCTGCAAACAGTGCAGAAAAATTCATCTATACAGATATTATTAATCTAATAATATTTTAACAGCTTTTTTATTCTAATTTCTTGGTCTATCTGAGCTTTAAAAGATGTCTTCTACTCAGATGCTTAAAATGTTACAAGACATTTTATAATTTTGCTTTACTGATTGTTCTCTGGTTTCTTCTACTTTCTACCTTTATAACTGCAGCAACTGCTAAAGCCCCTAAAGATCTTGTGTAAACACTTTTCCTTTTTTACTAGAACTGCTGTCAGTCAAGCCCCCCCCCTCTTTTCAAGGGCTTTCACTATACATGACCTTATCTAAACTTACTTCCCAGTAACTAAATCAAAGTAGGAGAAAATCAAATAATATATTATCAGTGCTTTCATTTTCATATTTCTTTTGCCTTGTTATTTTTTAAAATTATCTGTGAACTTCTCTGGATAGAATCAGATTATTACAAATCTAGCCAATACATAAATTCACATGTTTTCAATACTGGAGTATCAATAGAATATTCTTCCCCATCCTTTTACATGTAAAAATGTAACAACGGTCATCATTGTGCCAAAATCAGTTGAAAAGAACTGGAAAGAATCTAGATACAGGACTTACAACCATTTGTTTAATGACCATTCAAAGTTATAATGGCAAAACGTGCTTATGATGAGTTCTCACTCTTATTACCATTGCAGCATCCTTATAAGTCATGTGATCAAACTTCGACTGCTTGGCAACTGGCATGCATTTACAATGGTTGCAGCATCCTGGAATTGTCATTTGAAGCCTTTCTAGGGAGCTTCTGACAAGAAAAATTAATGGGGAAGCTGAATTCACTTAAATAACCGCATGATTCATTTAACAAGAAGTCATCTGCTTAACAACCATGGAAAAAACAGTCATTAAATGGGGCACAATTCACTTAACTTGCTTAACATCAGAAATTTTGAGCTTAATTGTGGTTGTAAGTTGAGGACTACCTGTAATCTATTTCTTTAAAATGGATTTTCCTTTCCTAGAGTTGCAAATAACATTCTGATTCTTTCTCAGAACTCATTCTGGCTAAAATAATATTGGACATCTATTTGTTGTCTACTACCCAGATATTTTGGTACCAAAATAGGAACATACTATAAAAATATATGCTTATATAACCATGAAGTTATTGCGTAAACAGAAAGGCTAGATAATAAAACATATTTATTATGTTTTTAAAAGAATCCCTAAAAATTGTTTTTTCCCTTGATCAATAATATTGGCCAGTTTTCATGTTATCAGAAAACCTGTAACCTCATAGAAATTGGTTAGTGGTCAACAGGTTATCTATGAAAGCTTAAAGAGCCAGTAATAGAGGATAAGCTTTGAGAAACATACCGGAACCGTGTATAGACTTTGTCTCCTTCATTATCTTCTTCAGCAACCCACCCTACATCTACAAGGGAGACTACTGCATCTTCTTTTAGTTGGTAAGATTGAGTGCTTTCTGCAGGCTGAGAAGTAAGCTAGATTGATTGGATAATGTTGCATATTAGAACACATGTCTCGATCACTAGGACATCACCATAAAGGTAACACGAAGATAAAATACATAGTGCAATCATGAATAGAGATGGAAGGGAAAACAGGTTTATACCAGAGTTAAAACACCAGTGTTTTTCTCCCCGCATTTAGGCGAAGTTTCAAATTTACTATGAATCCAATCTAAGAAATCTAAGGAATGTATTACAGCATTAACATTTCCACTGTTGTTTCCTAATGCATGGCATGACATACAAATTGGGTACTACATATCAAATATCTAGCTACAGGTTAGGAAATGTACATATACTAACAAAGTTACATAGGTGAATAATCTGATTAATTTCAAACTATTTCTCATACATATTGCATTATATTTGGATGAGAAACCAAAGACAGAAATTAGTTTCAGAGAAAGAAACTCCAAATCTTACACTAATTGTTTCTAAATGTTATTTTACTGTACTTGTTTCCACATTTGGCAGCCCAGGTAAGGAGCCATCAAAAGTACTTAAAGAATAAGAACTACTTTCTAGAAATAGCTGAAGTTAAATTCGTCAACACTGTAAGGTTATATCTATCGAAAATCAAGCCTATGCTTGCTATTCTACAGCATTTAAGAAAAGTATTGTCACTGTGACTATTCTGGACAATATTGGATCATTGTGACATAATTTCCAAAAAGGAAAAAAAGCCTTTTAACAGTTTAACACTTTATTCAGAGATCATTTTCATGGTCATGTGAAACTAAAACTTTTCTATATTCAATAATTGCAAGTGGACTAGAACTTCTTGCTTGATTATTATTTCAGACTTCAGTTGCTTTTTTGGAGACCTGCCATAGGACAAACTCAGATTTGTCTTTTTTCAGGCTTTAAAATAGATAGGCAACTAAACTCAAGCATTGTGAAAAGATTAAACTTGGGGCACCAAAATAAGTATCTAAATTTCCCATCTACATTTAAAATATCTAGCTAACTATACTAATTAAGTCTCATACACCCTATTAAAGTAGAAATCCAAAACGTATTTGTCTTTAAGAAAAGTTTTAATTTTTCAGCAAGATTTTGCTCTTAAGTTTCCAAAAATGACAATACAACGCCATTAAAGTTCTTTAGCTCATTTTCCATGCACAAGAAAATAAGGAATACAGAAGTTAAATTAAGCTTCTTAACAATCAGATTCATATGTAAGTAAATACCAATAGTTAAAGTGAACTTTAGTGAAAAAAGAGAAGACTGACTTACAGTAGGCTCAGTGCACGATCCTGTGATATAATAGCTAGAGAGCAAGAAAGGAAGAAAAAGGGAAAGAGAGAATGCTATAGAAAAGTTTCAAGAAAGCATGAAGACAGCTTTAGGTTTATTTTAAAATGAATAAACAGATGGCAGAGTTTATTCTCCTATCATTCAGAAAACTACAGTACTTTTCAGCAAAGGACAGGGAGAGGGATTTTTTTTCGTCTAACAACTATTTTAAATATCAAACACATGACAACTTAAAACACACTTGTATCTTTCTACTCTCTTGGGCTTGGTTTTAAACTGAATTTGTGCCCACCATTAAACTTGGCATTTCTCTTTGGTGAATGAATTGGTGGAGGCTTTCCAGAGAAAAGTGTTGATTAAGATAGAAGATATTAGTCCTTATTCTTTTATTCTATAAGCAATATTTTGAATCAATTTCTGCCCAGGTTTTATCAAAAATATTCAGAAGTCACTGACAGCTTAGATCAGTGTTTTTCAACCACTGTGCCGCGGCACACTAGTGTGCCGTGACATAGTATAAGGTGTGCCGTGGGAGAATTACTTTATATATAGTCAATATAGGCACAGAGTTAATTTTTTAAAACATTTTCTAATGGTGGTGTGCCTCGTGATTTTTTTCATGAAAAAAGTGTGCCTTTGCACAAAAAAGGTTGAAAAACACTGGCTTAGATCAGTAATATCATGAAATAAATATAAAGGTAAATGACTTGCACATATGTGCTAGTCATTTCTGACTCTAGGGGGCGGTGCTCATCTCCGTTTCAAAGCTGAAGAGCCAGTGCTGTCTGAAGACATCTCCGTGGTCATGTGGCTGGCATGACTAAGTGCCAAAGGCGCACGGAATGCTGTTGCCTTTCCACCTAGGTGGTCCCTATTTTTCTACTTGCATTTTTACATGCTTTCAAACTGCTAGGTGGGCAGAAGCTGGAACAAGTAATAGGAGCTCACTCCGTTATGCGGCGTTAGGGATTTGAACCGCCAAACTGCCACCTTTCTGATCAACGAGCCCAATAATAAATATAGCTACAGGTAAAATATTAAGGAAAGAAATATTCAATATTTTATCCAAGAAAAAAGGATATGATGATATTCACATATCTTACAAAATGTTTCTAAGCTGCTGAATTTGTTATGTGTAAATATGATTTTATTTTTGAATGCCATTTCCACTCAAAAACTGTTACAAGAGTTCTATAAAATTCAATATTATTGACATTAAATTAGAATAGAAATAAATCATGACCAATCTTTCCAAAAACATGTTCTCCCTCCAACTTTGAAATATAACAGATTAGTTCTACTATAAATCACAATTACTGAAAAGTCTTTTCAGAATTCATTACTTAGTATGAAAAGAAAGTTCTATTTAAAATACATGGCAAAAAATAAACTTAACAGTAAAAATATACTGAATTTGACCTTTGTGTGATCAATGGTATTCATAGTTTGCCATTTTCAACATAATTACAAAATGATTTTAAACATTCTTATTTTGAAGGAACTATTTTTAAATTAGAAAATACTACCATTTTTCACCTACTTCTAAATATGTTGACATTCCTCCTACGTATGTTTTATTCCTTCTTGATGCAAATGTGTGTGCATCAGCAGGGTCCTAAACCCAATTATCATTTTTTACAATTTTTGGGCACATTCCTGCCAGTTTTTTGGCAAAAATATAAATAGGAATCTGGGGGTGCAGTGAAAAATGTCCAAGTGCATATTAAACATCTAAGAAAGAGAAAAACATCTAATTGCCATTTACTTAATCCACAAGAGAGAAAAAATAACATCCACAGATGTAATTCCTTAAGCTGTAGACAAAAGGAGTCCTGTTTCTACAATAATTTACAGAAAATTTAGAGCCAGCCACTAACTGCAAAAATTGTAGTGCTGTTCTACAGCATTATCTTAAAGTTAATGCAAGCTGCAATATTCTACTACAAGAAGAATCCTGAGGCAATCTCCCTCTCAGAATGAGAGATACACACTATTTGCCTATGTACAGTTTTGTCTTTGACTTTGTGAGCTTTATTATATAAAAATATATCCCATAACAAATAAATATTTTGCTTACTATTTCAAAATAAAATATGGTATCAAAAATTCCACACTTATCAAATGAACTCCTGTGGATTTTTTAGGCTGATATTTTCTTCTCTCCAGACTGATGCCACGAAAGCTTTAAGTGGCAATATCTTGCAGAATAAATATTTTGTGAAGTATATTTTACTCTGAAGATTCAGAGTTTAAAGAACAACTGACAGATTCTGGAACGTTTTAAAGAAATAGCAGCACGCAAACCAGTGAAGTTAATAATCTGTTCAGAAGGGAAATTATTTACATTAAAGTATCATGAAAGCAGTTTTAATAACTCTTCAGTGGAACTTGCAAATAAATTTCATAGCTTATCACTGGAGAGCTTCACACTCCAGTTTTGTTGGCTTTATGGGAAGATTACACACAGATGAGAAGAGAGTTATTCAGGATATACTGTAATTCAGGATATATAGGTTGCACTTCATAAACTAGTGAGGCCAGGATATAACATTTCAGTTCAGTTGCATTTAAAATACAATTTAATAAAAAATAATTATATAATAAAATCACATCTGTTTCTATCATATAAAGAAATTAGAATTCAGCAACAACTTTAGGAAGTCTTTAGGATGTGTATTTGTTTCAGGACCTATGTATGCGCCTCAGACCAAACTTCTGTTATAGTTTCATTAGATATTTGAATTATTTTCTATTCTCATCAATGAAGACTTCGGGATCAGTACATCCAATTTATCAATCCATGTCATTTTCATTTAATTAAATTTTAATCTTTAAATTTAATATAACTACTAAGGAAATAATTTAATTTGGGGGTGTCCCTATTTTTTGTTCCAAACTGACAGAAAGAAACTTCTATCCACAAATAACACAGACCCAGATTTTTAGGTCTTACTAGTTTTTGTAAATCAAAGCAAACAAGTAAACATCTTACCTGAAACTGAACCCTTGGACACTGTATCAGAGAAAGGTTGGAGCCAATTTTTCTTACAATACTTCTGTTTGGGCCATAAGTTTTATTTGACCAAAGCAACTGAAAATAAAAAAGTCTGTGTCAATATTACTTTACTTCGAAGTTTTACTTACAGTTAAATAAACCCTATTTTTGTATAAGCATGAATCAAGTTGCATTGTAAGCCTGGATATACAGAAAACAGATTTAAAATTTAAGATTTATTTTATTATATACTTCCCAGAGTCATGCAAGTGACATGGGCAGCTATATAAATTTGATAAAGTGGCACAATATTCTGTCCAATAACATTTGAATGGCCTCACAATCAATATCTCTCTTAAACCAATGAAATAATTTTGATTATATTTTATAATGTAATGAACTACTCAAACATAATCCAGAAAACTTTAGGCATACTTATATTCTAAAATTCAGTTATATTTAAATCTTATACGGTGTATTCATGCCTTTTTAATGTCATTGGCATTTATGCATGCCATTCCTTATACATTATTCAGACTTTTAGTTTTTGCAAATATATCACTGTAATAATAGGTATACTTACTGATTCCATAATTAACCCAACTTGCATAAATATCACTCTAAATAGATGTTTAATCCAGCAGATCATCTAGAATAAAGTAAATCCTTCAGTAATTTGTAATTTGACAACCTCAGCTTCCTAGAAGGTAGAAGGTCCATAGTCAGCCTGGAGAGAAAAAAAAATGCTTAAAAGAATATGCAACTGTTTCAATGTGAGAATTCATCTCAAAATAAATATAATAACAGTATTTTTCACCAAAAGTATGTAACTGATACTGTATTTTCCCCAAAATAAGACAGGGTCTTATTTTCTTTTGACCTCTAAAATAAGCACTTGGTCTTATTTTCAGGGAGGTCTTATAATTTTTGAGCTGCAAGAGGCAGCGAGCGTTGTCACGGCTGCTGCTGTGTTGCAATATTTTGGGGGAGGGCTTATTTTGGGGGAGGGCTTATTTTAGCACATGAGCTCAAAAGCCCGATTGGGCTTATTATCTGGGAAGGTCTTATTTCAGGGAAACAGGGTAGTTTTAATTATACACCATCTTAAATTAAACACTATATAGTTGTATTTTAATATTCAAAACAGGAAAAAAGGTTAGAAGGAAAACAACATAAGCAAGAACAATTGTATAAAAATATACTTTTAAAGTTATACAGGGTATACCACAAGACAGAACCCATAGACAAATCACAATATATTTTATTATTTTTTCAGATTAAAATGTTATTGTATTTAGGAATGTTCAAAGATCACACTTCAAATGAGCACAAAACTGGTATCCAATTCAATTATTTAATGTAATTTATATAATAAATTGTCTATAGGACCAGCTGGGGTACCAGCAACTGAAAACAAGTATAATTTTGAAAGTACACTATATTAAAACATTTAATATACTTTAGGCAAATAATATATTAAAAAGTCTGTATGGTGAGTATGGCAGGACCTGGAGACAGCAAAAGAGAAGATAAAGAACTGGAGGAAATCACAAAATATAAAGACTTGTAAATAAAAGTAGAATGACTGCAGCAAAAAAAAAAAAAAGCAAAGATAGTACCAATAGTAATAAGTACCTTGGGTGCAATCCTAAAACACAATGCCAAATACTTTCAGCACTGACAAAATCAGCATCCGTCAATTGCAAAGGCAACTTTATTGGAAGCGCTTATATGCTACAATGATACCTCTTAACACCATGAAACATCTATATATCTGAAGTCCTTGGGTGGATAAAAATACTAAATGCAACCACTAAAATATATGATTTAATAGTGTGAAATTTAATCCCTGAAGATGAATTTTCTTCCACAGCAAATATGCATATCCCTAAAGAATAAAATTCCTTCTTACTCTGCTCACGAATAAGAACAATTTAGTCAAGTGAACGTAGTTATGGTTATTTTGGAAAGTAATCAAATTTCTGAGCTTTGTAATGGAAAAAATGCAACCGAAGAAAAGGAAATGAAATTCAAGCGAAACTGCTATCATGAAATACTGCATTATAAACTTGTTTTAGTTGATGGTTGATTTCTCCTAGCAGAGGAAAAATACATTCATTTGGAAAGGCAGTTCCTAGTTTTAGCTTTATTACTTGTAGCGGGTTTTATTGGCTGTTCAGTTGTCAGTTTCTCACCTGGGAATTGCAGTTCATGACAAAAGCTTCACAGTTGACATTTTAAAAATATTCTTTTAACCTGAAATAAAATATAGTATTTGTTCTTAAAAAGGAGTATTGACCTTAACTAGATTCATTTTTGCTCCCGGAGCTCAAAGTATTTTATAGAGCACTTTTTCTTTCAATTTCTTTCTCATAAGAGCAAACCTGTAATGGAGTGAGAATGACTAACCCCAAATCATCATCCAATAAGCATCCATAGCTGAGAACTTTCTATAATACTTCAACATGTTAACTTTAATACCCATCTTGGCTCTCCTAAGAGCTTCTAATTGGAAACTCCTGTCTGATCTGGATAAAAAAGAAGTTATCCCATTCTCAAAATTAAATGTAACAACATAGTACATTTTGGCCTCAATCATGGTTATAAGGTGAGGAATACCTGTACAGTTGCAATTCTTCATTAATATGATCAATTAAAACAAAGAGATTTATTTATAGCACAAATCTGTCCACAAAACATCCCATCAATCTCTTAGAACGTTTCTTGGATTTATACATTCTAGTAATATGAAAATGAGAATTTACATTGCTAAAAGGTATTATTTTGTACAATTATTTTGTAACAAGTACAACCAAGCTATCTGAGAACAGTAATGTACTACATAGAGAATAAAATAAACAAATGTGATTTGTTCAGTAATGTTTAACACTGACAAGATCAAGGGCAATCAGTAAGTTTCAGCTATTTTATTTTGGCTGCTTTATTAAATTATTTTTTATTTCTATTTTTTACTTTGCAGATATGTGGGTTCTGGAACGTTAGTTATAAAATCAAGTTGAAGCAGAAAGTTAAATAGTTTTTTGTGCTAAGGACTTAACATTTAAAGTAGATAAGTTATTATTTTGTTTTTGATAGACGATCCAGTTGTGTGAAAGCTTGTTTACAAGTATAGAATCAAATAAATTAGTAAAATGTCAGCTTATCATTAATAATGAATAATGCACCCTAAATTTTAAGACATTTTTTCCATTTTAGTTCCTAAATTTAGAATTCAATATTTAGAACTTTAAGGAGATATTAGAATGCTTCTTTTTATAGGACTAAGAATTCAGAAAAATACTCTCTCTCATTAGTGTTTATTGATTTATACTGAAGTTGTACTGACTGTTGACTGTGTGTCAATGACTTGATGTCAACTGTAAGCAAACCATGATAAGATTTTCTCCATGATGGTCTTTCCCTAATCTAGTCTTTCAGGTTTTCCAGTGGTGTACTCATCACCAATATAATTGCTTCTATTAGGAATTGTTTCTATTTACTATGTTCTATTATAAAATGCATTTATTATTTTGGTTTATATTATGTATAATTTTTATTAACTTATACCAAGCTTAGTTATGCACACTTAATACAACTATTTTATAAATTGCTAACAAAATGACTAATATAGCCGTTATCACCTTTTTGTCAGTTTCTATATACTATGACCATTCCTTGGTAACTTTCTATTTGTCTTTGAAGTAACTTAATTGTGGCAGAATCAAACAAATGACTGAGCCAGAGATTATAATAATTAACTATGCAAAATTACTGGTTTTGCACACATGTTTGCTACAAATGTTGCAACTCTTTAAGTTTAATTTATGGGAAAACATTTTCGTTGCAAATACAATTATACCGGTGACAAGCAAGTATCAGTATGTAACATAAAAAGATCAGATTATTTTCTATCTAGCTCAGTTTAGTTGCAAATTCATTGTCAGAATAGTTTTATCTGATGTCAGTTATTTCATATAATTCCCTACTGCATCCATTTAACTGCAGAAACCAAATATTGTGATTACAGAGATTACAGACAGTTCTTGTTTAGTGACTGCCTCATTTATTAACCATTCACAGTTACAATGGTGAAAAAAGTAACTTTGTGAGCAATCCTCATATTTATAACGTTTCAGATCTGTAAAGCAAAGGAAAGCTGAAGCAGAGTCATGGGGTTACATAGTGATTTCACTTAATGATTAAGTTGGGGGTCCCAATTCTCACTAAATGAGTTCTGTGTGTTTATCATTACCCTATTTCCAAAAATATTATTGAATCCAACACCACAATTTTTTAAATATTTTCAATATATACTTCAATATCTTAACTACCAAGTTCTGAAGCATTTTGACTATAGCTGTCAGATCATGAACACATTTTCTAACAATAAAAGTAATGTAACAGACATAGCTAATGTCAGATGAGCAAATTTTTAGTTTTTGCCAGAGAAAGGTTGCACTGGGAGATGATTCAAAGTGGGAGAGTGATGTGTTAACCATGTAGGAAGGGTGATTTTAAAATCATTTTGAGTGAGAGAATCTTTTTAAATGTGCAGGAATCTTACCGTAAATCACAGATGTTGTGCACCCCACTTTGAATTTTCCACTACTTATTAGTTAAAAGCAAATTCTGGATGGGTTTACCGAGTTATTTATTTTGAACCACAGTTCTTAAGCCTATCGTTCACAAGACAGCTGAGTCTTCTCCACCCGATTATTTTTTTGTTTTGGTGCCCAAAGAAATAAACAAGGAAGAGGAGGAAAATCTGGCACTATTAGAAGCAACAAACGTGACCGCGCAAATTCTGTTTAGATGCAAGAGCAATTGTAAGGGTAAATTGCCTTCTCCGGAGCAACCCAAGAGAGAAGGGAGAAGACAATCGAGGGAACCGGTGTAAACCAGACGAAATTTCTCAGATCAGCCACCGGGGCCTCGCAGAGGAAAAAAAAAATCCAAATACCAAAACACTACGCCCCGAAGAATTTAGAAAGGGCGCAGAAGCAGTAATTTGAGAACCACCAGGTTTAGGCCTACCTCAAAAATCAGATCTTCCCGGAGACAGGATGACATAAAACGGCCCTCCTGCGCGTACTCTTCGTGCCCCAGCCAAACACGCTCCCACCCGGCTCTGCCTTGACGGACGGGGAAGGGGGGGGGGAAGAGGCGCAGGGCCAGAACGGGGAGTCGCCGGCTAATAGGGCGCAAGAGCCAAAGCAATTGTCGCCGGGAAGGCACGACTCTCGTCTCCCGCTTTGGGGAAAACAAAAAGCGGCGCCCGGCAACGTCAGCCGAGACCTTCGGCGGCAACGGCTCGTGTCCTTGACTCACGATTGGCGCGTTCTCTCTCTCGGCCCCGACCTGACAGGGCGCCGTTCATCTCACGCCCGAAACTTCGTGACAGGGTTGAACGGTGACAACAAAAGGAAGGCCCTGAGGTAGATGGAAGCAACTCACCCGCTCGTCAGACCGCTCCAGGGCTTATTCCTTGGCTCGGACTCTCCCGGAGCCGCTGGGTCCCCGCCGGCCAGCAATCCCTCGATTCCCTTCGTCGGTTTCCCTCAGCAACCAATCCTGCGGAGCGCCGGCAATAGGCCTGGCCAATCGCTGATGGCCATTTAGGGAGGCGAGGCTTAGCCTTGCAGTCCGGTTAGATGACATCGTCGGTAACATCATCGAGAAAGGATAGAAGCCCGAAGACTCTATGATCTCTGGAGTGACATCCGCTCCATAGGTCTCCCTTTTCCTCTCGATGGTTTCAGTAAGTTCAAACCCCCGCCTAATGTTTCGGATGAGCTATTTGCGAAAAGACAGGAAAAGTCCTGCTCTTCAGTATCAAAGGATCACGTAAGGAGCGCCATCTAGTGCTATTTCACTACTATCTAGTGCTAAGTTTGCGTAAAGGCGGTAGTTTGTTTTTTCTGTGCTGCGGTAAATTTTGGCACTATTAATTGACCGACATGCCATACATCGTTATCTACTTAACAGCCACAGGTTTTCACCATAATGCTCTGTCCCAAATTGGTCCTTCAGGTCTTTCAACGGTACCTCATCACCGCTCCAACAGTGCCCATCTATGCTATCTTACTGCTGGTTGTCCTACTCTCGGATATTAGCAGAGAATCCTTAAAAAAAGAGCACACATTCAACATATTTTCAGATCCCTTTATTTTGCAATTCTAGTACTACACAAAATGTTTTATATAGAGTAAAACCAACGTATTAAAACTTAAAAGTCTTTTTCAGGGTTGCAGAACTGTATCTCTCCAAATTCATTACTGTAATCCTTGAACATTAGGTGCATTAGTTATGCCTGATGAGAACTGTATTTCAATCTGTAGCAAACCAAAGGTTAACTATGAGAACACTGAACTACAGATGTGATAACCACCCTCAACCCCAAACACCATACCAACAGGTTAAGGATATTGGAAAGTTTAATATTTGATCCTTTGCTTTTGGAATCTTCAAATTTTGGTCAGGATGGATGCAATGCTATATCTATGGAGCACCAGATTAGCAAAGACTAGCATCTTGAAAGCATGTCACACTGAATTGTGTGAGAGGGTAGCTTTCTGTGATTTTGATGTACAAATAAAACAAGTCATTGCTACTATTGCAAACAACACTGTAGATGTTTATGTATAACTTAATCTACTATTTTTTAAAAAAATCTATTCTCAATTAAATGTGTACAAGATTGCACCCTTAACCACATCCATGTGTTTCCTAAAGACCAAATGAATTTGTCTACTTTAAAAGTATAGTACACCTATACACTTATATATTCTTGCTATCTATGATAGCAAAACTTTACAGAGTTTGTCATCAGAGATGCTAATTATGTATAGAGGCCTATTTTGAAGCACCATGTATGTGAATGTAGAGTAGAAAATTAAAGAATTAGAATTATATTTATGGTAGCAGTTGCACTTCAGCAAAGTTATTTTCTGGGTATCATAAGCCTATACAAGAAACCCACTGATGGGTTTAACAATCACACAAACCTATGGTTTCTTAATAAGCAAGTAATTTGGTTTTGCTGGTACATTAAGCAAACTGAATTATAATAAAAACTTTGGTTTATAAATAGCTGGACTTATTCAATGTACAGTTATGTATAAATCAGGCCATAATGTAACCCTTTTGTAACTACTTATATATTTATCAGAAAACTATTCACAATGAGTCATTTTCAATTTTATAGCAACCTTGAG